GCGTGTACAGCGGGACCCCGTGGAAGCGGAGGAACTACAACCAGGGAGTCGTAGGGTGAGTTCGTGCTGGGCCTGCGGCCTGCGGGTGGGCGAGCCTCGGCCCGCTGCTCCTGGAAGGAGGATTGATTCCCCCCTCCAACCCCAGCCACCTGCACTTTTCCCCAACCCTCCTCAGCCTCCGCGCCTGCTCCGGACAGTCCTCAGACAGGCACACCCTCTCCTCACCTCCCTTAGTCATCCACACCTTCCCCCGCACCCTCTTAACCGTCCACACCTTCCCCGAGCCCCCTTTATCCATCCGCTCATTCTTCCCATCCCCCTTAATCCAGCCTGCCCCGTCACCCAGCCCTCCACGTCGTCATGCCCACCATCATGCGCCGCTGGGAGATTCCTTAGCTTAGACATATCATTCATTCCCGAGAACGGTAGCGTTACTGTGTTAGTGCCTTTTGATGGTTCAGGACCTGGAGGTGCCTTCCTTGCCAAGAATAGAAACATCCAGAATGCCCCTCCCCCTCCCCCAATCCCAGACAGGGATCGTGGCAGCCCTGAAAGGCATTGCCTGCTTTTCACCCTTTGGCCAATCTTTTAATTTTTATTTTTAACAATGCCATGCTGTGTGCGGGGAGGGAGGACTGGGTGACAGCTAAGTTTAGGCGGGTGGAAGTGGTGAGCTCGTGTTCTGAGCCCTGATAGAACTTTCCAGGAGTTCATAGTCCGGTCTCCAGCGTCTCCCTGTAAAGTCATCCTGGCAGAGGCAGCCAGTGGTTTTCATTCTAGGGGTAACTTTATGCTAATGAATGAATGTTGCACCACTAGTGACTTTCTGTTTAAAGTTCAGCTCTTACAAAATGGAATCTTACCTGACCCCTAGTGAATTATGTACATAAGCTGGGAATGTGCCAAGCTAGATTTCCTTTCTGGAAGAGCCTCTGTACTGGAATAGGTTACCAAGTCATTTTTCTTTTGTAAAGTAAAGCTTTTGGGCCATTTGTTTGTGTGTGTGTGTGTGTGTGTGTGTGTATGTAGCAGGAGAGCAGGAGTATGGAAAACTGGCTTTCAAATTACTTTTTCAGTTTTTTAGCTCCTGTTTTACATTAAGAGCTAGAACACACAAATAAAACCACCCATTAGTAATCTCTCATGAACCTTTTCCTAGCTTCATCCATTCAGTCCTGCCCAGTTTGACAAGGAGGCAGTTGTGTGTACCTTCTGAAGGTCTGGGTAAAATGAGTTGGTGGGTTCCATCTGCTTCTAGTGGGCTGGTGTCTGCTGTATGCTACTATTACAGCTCTCACCTTTTACGGAAAATGCAGTCCTGTGTTTTAGATGCTTTAGAATTGGTGTTGAGATTTATGTCAAATCTGCCTTCACTCTCCAGAGGGGAACGCTTCAGGGCTGAGTGTTCTGTTGCTAAGCTTGAAGGGCGCTCTCCATGGTCATCACGTTTTATTAAAGGTTTGTGGTTCCATCCTGGTAGCATTTCCACGTTGAAGTGTAAACCTGTTGTTTAGTGACAAGCAAATTGATTTTGAAGGGTTCTCGTAGTTTTGTTTTACAGGAATAAGCTGCAGTTAAGTAATCACTGTCAGCTAAAGCCCTGAAGTTCCCTAATTGCATTTTACTGAAATTTCTTTGCATATGTTTGTAGAAAAGATACATTATAAATCCAAAATGTTGGCCTCCTTTTTTTGATAGAAATTGTTCGGTCTTCTACTTAGCATAGAGGATACTATAAATGGTTCATATGTGAACTTCGGTAGAAGCAAAATGTCCTTGTTTCTGTTTCAAATATTATATTGCCCTTAAAGGGATTAGGAGAGGAATTTTCATTTCCCAGAATGATTACTGTTTAAAAACTGTAATCACTTCATCAGACTTTCCACGTTTTTTCACCTTCTTTTGAGGATGTCAGCAGTTAAAAAATTTTAAATTTTAAATTGAGACCTAGTTTTGAAAAATATATGAAGCATTCCTCAAAGCCTCTGGATAGTTAATAATTCTTGTTTTGATATGTGGGTTCTTATTTCTTCACTTTTAAGGAAGTTTTGATTTTTTAATACCAGTATTTTAAAAATATGAATTCTGATTGCACCTCAGTATTACACCATTCTGAGATTAAATATAGTAAAAATGTTACCAGCATTTTTTTGTGTGACTGATACTTTTGTTAGTAGATCAACAAATCATGATGGTTACTGGCCTCTGAATTGGCTATGCAGACAGGGAGATGAGACCAAAAATATACATGAAAAGTGGATTAGAACTCTGGAATACCCGTGTGCTTTCTCACAGCTCTTGTCTTTACTCACGGGTTGGTCTTTTCTATAGCAGCCAAACTAGTTGACTTATTTCTTGAGCATTCCTTTGACAAACAGTTCAAAATCCTGACTTCTTCCATCATCCAAGTTCTTGATTTGGAATTCTTACAGTATTTGTTTTATGTTCTTAATAGAGCAAGTTAATGTTAACTTTTCTTTTATATATGTGTTCTCTTATCCACTGGAGGATGGAAATTTCTTTAACGTAGAGTAAGATGTTTAGAATTTGTCCTAAAGTCCTTACTGTAGTTTTCTTTCAAAATGAAATTCCTCGGGGCTTACTATCTCAGCATTTGTCCCCATGTAACCACAGGCCCAGGGAGTTTATTTACTTTCCATTTTCAATTTTATTTTATTGCATTGCTTTCACTTATCCTTTTTCTTGGGCTTCATTTCCCTCTAGGGCTGGCTGTGTAGGATACGATTGCCTCCTTCTGCTTGCCCATGAAAACAGGCCATAAGCCTTTTTCAAAGATTTGATTGCTGATCACTGTGGAGAGAGAGAGAAGGGATGGCAAAGATTTGAAAGCACAGGGAATTTAGAGGTATTCAGAATTCTTAGACCTGAGCCCTGGTGTTCAGAAACTTCTTGTGGAAGGTGCTTGGGGCTTGTCTGAGTTCATGAGGGTAGGTTTATATTGGCTGCAGTGCAAAATCTGTAGGCAGTTTGTCTAAGTGTGGGTGATTTGCTCCTGGTAATGCTTTGGAGGATGAATTTGGTTGAGCAGCGTTTAAGAAGACCCCATTGGAAACGTAAGTGTTTATTTTGGTGGTACTGGGGATCCAACCTACCACTCTGCACATGCTAGGTAAGCCCTCAGCCACTGAGCTACATTCCTAGTGCCAAGAAACTTAAGTAATAATTTCTTCCTTTCCTTTCCTTGTTCTCTTTTCCCTTCTTTCCTTCTGCCTTCCTCCCTTTGTTTTTCCATGGTGCTGGGATTGAACCCAAGGCTGTGTCCCCGGTCTTTTTTTGAGAGAGAGGTCTTGCTAAGTAAGCCCTTGAATTTGTGATCCTCCTACTTAGCCAGAATGCTAGGATTATAGGCATAGGTTACAGGCATGTGTCACCATGCCCAACTGTGGAATAATTTCTTGAACTAAGAGGTAGGAAAGGGATGGAAGGAAAAAAGAATGTGAGAGGTATTACAGAATAAAGATGGAAAGGATCCCAACTCCTTCACAGGATTTAACTTGAGTGATTGGGAAAATGTTTATGTTACTGAAAATAAGAGCTAGAAGGACTGATGGTTGGGTAGAAGCTAGAATGATGGTTAGGTAGAAATGTCTGGCAGGGAGTTGAAATTTTGGGGTTGAGATATACAGTGTTTTTTGCTGCGGTGAGCGAGTGTCATCTCACACTGCCATAAGCTGATGTTTAGTGCTCACTACATCACAGTTAAACCCAGGGCACTGATAGTTTTTTTCATCCCTGGCATTGTCGGTAAATTTTCTACATAATGTCATCAGTGGGATTGGTGTTGCTGCTGGGTTCCAAAGCAATCAGGCAGATGAACACAGATTGAATAGTAAGGAATTTAGAGACTTTATTCTTCCTCTTTGTGTTAAGTTTAATTTCTGTGCATTTGCAGATGAGTCCACAGTAATTCTTTAGTAAACTGGGACCTTCAGGTTATGGAATTTTATGATTTGGGTACTGAAATATGTTTTTTTAAGGAGACATTATAAGGCACAGGAATGTAGCTCAGTGGCTCTGCGCCTGCCTGGCAAGTGCAAGGTTCTGAGTTGGATATTGGACTGGTTGTGTATGGTTGTCTAACTTGTTGGTTCTCAGGTAACCTGTATAACATAGGAATAGTGTAGACAATGGCATCAAATGGTTAGGCATTCTCATGCCTACTGAAGCTGAGAAAAATTAAAGGCACTTTTTCTGTGGGAAGCAGAAAAGCAGGCTGATGTATGATTCCACACAGCTTTCTATTCTCTGTTCTTTTGACTCTGTTAGCGTAACATTTACTGGAGGAAACTATTTCAGGATCACACCCACCACACTAGAAGACTATTAATCATGCACGCGCGTATACACACACACACACACACACACACACACACCACACACACATGCACGTGCATGTATTCTTGATGGGGCTGTAGGCCAGAGAAAAGGCTTTTTTGAAGAATTAGGGTCCAGTTGCCAGGAGCTGGTCTTTGTTCTATTTTACAGAGCTGACTGGACAGCTTGGAGCAGCCCGAGGTCTTTCCTGCTGCTAGTAGTATGTTCTTTTCCACCTTAGAATTTTTGGTAGAGACTTAGCTGCTATAGAACACCATAAAGGCGTCAAATTTGCTTTAATGTTTTTAAGATTACACATAATTTTTTATAAGCAATTATATAATGAAGTTGAGTATGGCCTTGAGATAGACTTTTCATTAATTTACATTCACACGGCTGGTGATAACATTTCATTCCATCTGATGTTACTTGATGTAAAAAAATTTTGTATGCTAAGAACTTTGGGCCATATGAAAATTTAAGTTAAAGATTTTAGGAAAAGCCAGGCATGGTGGCGCAGGCCTATAATCCCAGCACTCAGGGGGCTGAGGCAGGAGGATTGCTTCAAGTTTGAGGCCAGCCTAGGCTACATAGTGAGACCCTGTTTCAAAACAGAAACAAACACCAAAAAAAAGATTTTAGGAATAAATCGAATGTGGAGCCATTTTTACCATGTACACATAACCAAGCTCGAGAATTTTAGCCCTAGTCATACCTCAGTGATGGTGAATCTTTTAGAGCTTTCAGTGATAGAAATGACCCTCTGTGGCACATGTGCCATAGGTTTGCCACCCCTGTCATATCTTCTTCTGAAATAGTTGTATACATTTGGTGCAGAAAACTTTGGTTTCAAATTAGTTGGTATAATAAAACTGCTCAATAAGATGGAAGCCTTTATTACTGTGTTTCAAATGTTTTGCAAGGCCTTTTCTATTCTTTATAATTAACTTCTTCATACACAATTACATTTAATCTTTTTACCTAGCTTTTCATTTTATTTTATATTTTTGGTACCGGGGATTGAACTTGGGTCTTTGTGCTTGCAAGGCAGACCACTGAACCGCTGAGCTAAATCCGCGGCCTTAACTTTTCATTTTAAAATGATCTGTAGACTCAGAAATTTACAAAAGCTGGTACAGAGCTCTTATTTCCTTTATCCAGTTTCACCTCATGGTAACATCTCATATAACTATAGTTCAATGTCAATATCAAAAGCAAGAAATTGACATTGGTGCAATAC